CCTGGTGCGGCCCGGCCCATGAAGCCTGGCCGAGGGGGGACCCCCGCCCTGGCTAGTCCTAGGGAGCCGCACTGGGTTTTGGAGCTGTCCCCCCTCTAGAGAAGCCCGTCCTGAGTTAATGCTCTCAGCTCGAGCCCTCGTCCTCAAATTCCTCCTTTGCTCACCACCGTCTCTCTGGTCCTAAACCGGAGGCTTCTAAAATTTCTTTGGAGGCTACTAAAGTGCCAAAGGGACCCTTCTTTGCCCCCTAGCTTAAAGCCCCCCCAGAGCTCCTGCTGCTTCAGTGTAAAGCCCCGGCTTCTGGGGCCTGGCCTGCCACAGCCTCGCTGCAGGCCCCCAGCCAGCACGCTGCCCGGTGTCCCCAGGCCTTTCTCCCCGCAGTCCTCCTGGAAGTCCCTTCCCGCTGTCTTTCCTGGCTGTCTTGCTCATCCTGCAAGGTGCCACAGGGCCAGACGCCCCTGGCACCCTGCACCCCTCTGTTGTAGGAACGAGGCAGGATGGGATGGTGGGTGCCTGGGCCTCAGTCAGGCTCCAGCACCATGACCTTGGGCAAGTCACCGAACAGTCCCGCCTCCACTTCTGGACCTCTACACTGGGGTCAATGGTAAAGGGCCCCAAGTCAGGGGCTGTTGTGCTGATTGCAGCAGTTTCAATTATAGGGGCTGCTTGGAACAGCGCCCAGCCTGTCAGAGCCTGACGCGCGTTAGCTGTTCCCGGATTGTGTCCAAGTTCAGTGTTACACCCCCCACACCCCAAGACAGGCAGACACACAAAGTGCACCCACCACCCAGGCTCTCTAATGCCACAGCTGAGTAGCCACGTGCAGCTGTTTAAATGTAAATACATTTAAAATTCATTACATTTTAAAAAATTAAAAGTAAACCCAGTTCCTCAGTCACATTACACTAGTCACATGTTAAGTGCTGAATGGCCACACGTGCCTGTTGGGCACCATCATGGATAACCCAGACGGAGAACGCGTCCATCACAGCAGAAAAGGGCCAGTGGGTACCCCGGTGGACCGCACCACACTAGACTGCGGGCTCGAAGGCAGGGGATGGTGGCCTGTGTCTTACTCATTTTCCTGTCCTCAGCACCTAACACAGTGCCTGCCACATGGTAGGCAAGAGTCGTTTGAGGAACCTCATCACTTTATAGGTTAATAAGGACACGGTCTCAGAGAGCAAGTAACTTGCTCGGGGTCACACAGCTAGGACTGGATTTCTGAGCCATGTCCCTTCCAAACTAACGTTCTATGACCCCCACTTCTCTCCCCAAGTCACCCACCACCACCCCCACCGGCCTCCCACGTGGCCTGACCCGGTGGCTCCCTGTCTCAGACACTTGCTTTCTGCTCTGGTCCCTGAGCAACGGCGGCTCCTCCTCTCTCCATCCAGGTGCCCGGTCCCAGCCCTGGGTGCAGTTCCAGCGGCGGGCTGCCCGCCTGCCCGTCAGCTCCACCTACAGCCAGCTGTGGGCCTCGCTCACTCCTGCCAGCACCCAGCAGGAAATGCGGGCTTTCCCTGCCTTCCTGGGCACCGAGGCCTCCGGTTCAGGTACGCTGGCTGCCACGCACGGGAGAGATGTTCCCCCGCAGAGAATTCGGCCCTCAGCTCTGTGTCCCCTTCCCCCAGGCAATGGCTCCTGGCTGGAGCTGATGCCCCTGGCTGCCGTGAGCGTGCACCTGCTGACAGGCAATGGGACGGAAGTGCCGCTCTCAGGCCCCATTCACCTGTCGCTGCCTGTGCCCTCGGAGCCTCGTGCCCTTGCTGTGGGCACCAGCATTCCAGCCTGGAGGTTTGATCCCAAGAGTGGTGAGTGTCTCCGGGGGTTGGTTGCTGGGCCTGGAGTGGGGGGACAGAGACTTTAGACGGGGGCACCCTGAGCCTGACGCGACCCCTGCCTCTCCCAGGGCTGTGGGTGCGCAACGGCACTGGTGTGATCCGCAAGGAAGGCCGGCAGCTCTACTGGACCTTCGTCTCCCCCCAGCTGGGGTACTGGGCGGCTGCCATGGCTTCCCCCACAGCTGGTGAGAAAGTGGGGCAGGGAGGAGCGATGGGGGGCTGTGGGGGAAGGGGAGGCTGGGAGAGTGGACTCCTTCTGAAAGGCAGGAAGGGCATCCGCACCTGGGACGCTAAGCCCTCGCCTGGCACAGGGCTGGTCACCATCACATCGGGCATCCAGGACATCGGCACCTACCATACCATCTTCCTGCTCACCATCCTGGCAGCCCTGGCCCTGCTGGTGCTCATTCTGCTATGTCTGCTCATCTACTATTGCCGGTGAGTGCCACCTAGGCCCCCACGTTCTCCCATCCTGTGCAGACGGAGGCCTGCTCCGTGCTTGGCCTTGTGTTGGGCACTGGGGCCCCCAAAATGCATCAAGACATAGTCTGACTCTCAAGGCACTGACCGGAAAGCAGGGCACATGCACATGCAGACTGAAAACACTGGTGGCTTGAGAGAAGTGGGAGAGGGCAGGTGGGAGCTGCAGGCCAGGCCCCTCCCCAGACGACCTGCAGCTGCTTCCGCCAGCCCGGCTCTCTCGCCCACGGGACCTCAGGCTTAGGGGCTCCTCCCAGGTCCTCACTGTGCCTCCTACATGTGAAGGCAATTTACTGGAGAGGGACCCAAGTGGGCACAGCTGCTGGCTGGACCTCCTGCAGATGGGCAGGCTCTTTCCACAAACCTCTCCCAGGAGTTTTTCTTTTGTTCCTTTCCCCTTCCTTCCTTCCTTCCCTGCTTTCTGAGTCCCAGGCATTGTCCAGACCTCTCCAACTATGTCAGTCCCTCATGTTGAGGGGGATTGGGAGCTGCGGGGGTTAGGGAGCTGCTCTGACATTACACCTTTAAGGGCCTCCGTCTGTCCCCTCCTTTCCAGGAGGCGTTGCCTCAAGCCCAGACAACAGCACCGCAAGCTGCAGCTCTCCGGGCCCTCTGACGGCAACAAACGAGACCAGGCCACCTCGATGTCCCAGCTCCACCTCATCTGTGGGGGACCCCTGGAGCCCACCCCGTCGGGGGATCCCGAGGCTCCACCTCCAGGCCCCCTACACTCCGCCTTCTCCAGCTCCCGCGACTTGGCCACCTCCCGGGATGACTTCTTCCGCGCCAAGCCGCGCTCTGCCTGCCGCCCGGCCGCCGAGCCTGCAGGTGCCCGCGGGGGTGAGGGCGCCGGGCTTAAGGGCGCCCGCTCCGCGGAGGGTCCTGGCGGGCTGGAGCCAGGCCTAGAGGAGTACCGGCGGGGACCCTCTGGGGCCACGGCGTTCCTGCCTGAGCCGCCCTCGCCGCCGCCGCCCTTCGAGCACTACCTGAGCCACAAGGGGGCGGCCGAGAGCAAGACCCCCGACTTCCTGCTGTCTCAGTCGGTGGACCAGCTGGCCCGGCCGCCGTCGCTCAGCCAGGCCGGGCAGCTCATCTTCTGCGGCTCCATCGACCACCTCAAGGACAGTGTCTACCGCAACGTCATGCCAACCCTGGTGATACCCGCGCACTACGTGCGCCTGGGTGGCGACGCGGGAGCCGCTGGGGCGGGCGACGAGCCCGTCCCGCCCGAGGGCACGACCCCCGGCCCAGCGCGCCCTTTTCCCCAGCCCGACCCCCAGCGCCCACTGATGCAGGGCCACTCGGGCGCGGGAGGCGAGGGCAGCGGCGGTGGCGGCGGCGAGGGCTGGGGGGGCGGGCGCTCGGCGCCGGTCAGCGGCTCGGTCACCATCCCGGTGCTGTTCAACGAGTCCACCATGGCACAACTCAACGGGGAGCTGCAGGCCCTGACGGAGAAGAAGCTGCTCGAACTGGGTGTGAAGCCGCACCCACGCGCCTGGTTTGTGTCCCTCGATGGCCGCTCCAACTCGCAGGTACGCCACTCCTACATCGACCTGCAGGCGGGCGGCGGGCGGAGCACGGATGCCAGCCTGGACTCGGGCGTCGACGTGCACGAGGCGCGGCCTGCGCGCCGGCGGCCCCTGCGCGAGGAGCGGGAGCGCGCCCCGACGGCCGCCCCCCCGCCGCCGCCGCCGCCGCCGCCGCCACCACCACCACCCGCACCTCCGCGCCTGGCGCTCAGCGAGGACACGGAGCCCAGCAGCAGCGAGAGCCGCACGGGCCTCTGCTCCCCGGAGGACAACTCGCTGACACCGCTGCTGGACGAGGTGGCGGCGCCCGAAGGCCGGGCGGCCACGGTACCCCGAGGTCGGGGCCGCAGCCGCGGGGACAGTTCCCGCAGCAGCGCCAGCGAGCTGCGCCGCGACTCGCTCACCAGCCCGGAGGACGAGCTGGGGGCGGAGGTGGGAGACGAGGGGGCCGACAAGAAGAGCCCTTGGCAGCGGCGGGAGGAGCGGCCGCTGATGGTGTTCAACGTCAAGTAGCGCCCCCTCCCGGCCTGGCGCCGCCTCCCGGGCGGGCTCCGCCCCGTCCGCCGGGGCCCGTCCCCAGGGTGCGTGCCCCAGGAGGTAGTGGGGGTACTCGCTCTTAGCCCGGGGCCTTGAAAGGTACCCTGGGGCCTGCGGAGCTGTCCGGTGGTATGTGCTGGGTAATGAACGTCTTCGGGGGGGCCCCATGTCTGTCTCCAAGAGGGCGGTGGGAGGAGTCAGACCCCCATTGGGAGGTCCTGGGGAGGAGGGCTGGGTGGGGGGAAGCAGTGCCTGTATAAACGTGGCTGTACATAGAAAGTTCTATTGTGGGAAAGCAGGAGGGGCAACCAGGCCTCAGCGGCTAGTGTGAGGGCTGGGAAGGGAGAGGGCATTCTGTCGACCCCTGGGAGGGGAGGGGTGCTGCTTGCCGACTAGCCCACGCCCGAGCTACCAAGTCACCTTGGCTGGTGGCTGGGGCGGCTCTGGGGAACAGGAGTTAATGTGATGGGATCAGTGTGGGCGGCAGCAAATATAACTGGTGAGATTAACTGTGTGTGTGTCTCTGTGGGGCGGAGGGAACATGGGTGCTGGGTGGGGGCCCTTGCTCAGGGCTCCTGGGAAAGGCAGGGAGGGTGGTCAAATCAGACAGTTAAGAAAGTGTACAAACTTTATTAGAGCACATACACACATACGCACACACACCTGTGGATAGGAGAGAGCACCTGGCCACAGGATCACAGAGGTTGGGGGAAGGGATGGCAGCTTGTGATGTGGCTTTGCCTCCCTCCTGTCCCCGTGTATAGGGAAGGCCTTAGACCCAGGCCCCACCTCTCAGGATGATGGGAGGACTCAGACTGGGGGGCGGTTCAGGAGAGTTTGGTGGGGGAGAGGTGCTGGGGAGGCCTGAGCAGTGGGTACCCTGTGAGCAGGGTCCCGAGGGCTATAGAGTGTCTTCAGTCCTCAATCTCCCCTCACAGCAGTGGTCTGGGGGCCGGGTTCCTCAAAGGAGTGTCCCAGCGCATGGTCTTCCTGCGTAAACACTTGGTGCCCTTGTTCCCACAGTGGAAGCCAAGAGGACAGCAGTGGCGCTGATCTGCACAGCAGACGCCCTGAGGGTCAGAGGGTATGAGAGTTAAGACACAGCTGGACCTGGCCTAGCCGCATACCCAGCCCCAGGGCAGGGGGTGGCACTAACCTGGGGAAAGGGACAGCAGGCCCAGCCTCCTCGGCTGTCTCGGCAGCAGGTCTGGTTGTCGTGGCAGAAGCGCCCCTCCCCACACTGCACATTCCCCACTCCCACAGGAGGGCCGAGGGTCAGGTGGATAGCACGGTGGGCAGCATCCACCTCCTTCTCACAGGTTCGGGCCTTCACGTTGCAGGTGTACCCAGCCGGGCAGCAGTGCTGGCGGTCCTCACAGCACACGGCCTGCAGGGACAGAGTGGCATTATGCTCTTGCTCCCCCTCCCATTCCCCCGGGACTCGGCTCCCCTCTCCAGGGACAGGCAGGTGGGCACTCACGTGGGGCAGCTGGCAGCAGGCCCAGCCCCCGCCCAGGCTCAGGCAGCAGGTCTGCCCCACTGGGCAGCTGGTGTGCTGGTCACAGCCCATGGCCCTGGGCTGGGCCAAGGAAGTGCGGCGGGCAGGCCTCTTCTCCAGTCCAGCCACCACCTTATTCCCCTTCTGACACTGCCCCCCAGCCACGCACGTGTAGCCCTGGGGGCAGCAGTGCTGGTGGTCCAAGCAGCAGGTAGCCTGGGGCGGGACGGGGACAGAAAGAGCAGTCTAAGAAGCCATACTACGTGGGATGGAACCCCTACCCCCCCGCCCCGCCGCCTCTCCTGCTCAGTTCCTCCAGTGAGGTCGGGTCTGAGAGCTGCGGTGCCACTGTGGGCGAGGCAGAGAGCAGGTAACGGAAGTCTGGCCCCCTGCCCAGGCCGGGGCACTGTCCCCGCAATGCGACCCTCCTAACCATGCACCTCTGGGACAGGACAGCAGCCCCATTCTCCAGACAAGAGTCGACAGCAGGTATTGAAGGGAGGGCAGCTGGTGGTGTTGTCACAGGGGACATCCCTCTCTGCGGCACGGGGGAGTGACGGGCTGAGGCGGGCTGGGGCCTGCTCCACCCAGGACAGCTGGCGGCCTTCCTCTTCACAGGTGCCCTTCCCTTTGTTACACTTAAACCCGGCTGGGCAGCAGTGCACGTGGTCCTCACAGCATACGGCCTAGGGCGGGCAGAGAAAGGACAGTGGGCACAGGGGCCTAGCTGGCTGCCACCCTCTGCCCGGCCCAGCCCGCCCACCGCTCCTGGGCACCTGGACAAAAGGGCAGCAGCCCCAGGCCCCGGACTGGAGGCGGCAGCAGGTGTAGTCATCCGGGCAGCTCACCTCCCCGTCGCACTTCACCTCCTGCACTGGGGGTCGGGCAGGGCGGGCAGGTCAGCGGCGGCCCCAGGGACCCCCTCCGTGCCCGCCCTCTGCCGACCCCACAGCCAGAACCCGATGTCGAGGATGGAGGGCCACCCCCAGCAGGGATCACGAGGCGAGGTCTGCCGTGGAGGAAAGGGGGCTGCACCTGCCCTGGCCCCTCCATGCAGCCATCAGCCCCCCCCCCATCTGCTCTCGGGACAGCCTGGTGGAGAGCCACCTCGTGGCGCAGGTGGAAGTCTGCGGCCCGCCGCTGGTACCTGTGTGTGCCGGCAGCTTGGTGAGCAGGTCCGTAGCGTTGTCCTTGGAGAAGCACTTACTCAGGACCAGGTCGCACACGGTGCCCTCAGGGCAGCAGTGCAGGTGGTCGGAGCAGCAGATGGCCTGGGTGGAGGCAGGGGCGCGTCTTTGGGACTTCCCATCTCAATTGAGCCCTTGGAGCAGCCGGGCTGACAGCTGGCACTACCCCAATCCCCCACTAGGGGGTGGCATAAGTCCTGAGCAGCCAGGACTCCCAGCAACCTGTCAGCCAACCTCCCTCCCCAGAAGTCCCTGCAAGGTAGATGTCCGGGCTAGGTGGCTGTGGGCACATGGCCCAAATGGCTGTAGCCCCGCACTTACATTAGGTATCGGGCAGCAGCCGTACTGCCCACTAGGGAGCTCACAGCAGGTGGAATCATCAGGGCACAGGGACCGTCCGTCTGGGCACAGGATCCCTGGAAGGGGAGAGAGGTGGGAGGGGTAGCCAGGGTGTGGGAGAACTTCCCGCAGCTAGGAGCCAGCCTCTCCTCACTCCCCACCTCCAACCCGATTCTCTCCCACCTCCTCACCTGTTCTATTGGTCCTCCGTGCGGGGATCTTCTTTGCCAGGGGGTGGGTGCCCGCGGTGGTGAGGCAGCGGGCATGGGCCAGGTCACAGGAGGTGCCGTGGGGGCAGCAGTGCACCTTGTCTTCGCAGCAAGAAGCCTGAGAAGAGATGATCCTAACTCTCTCTTCACCCCTTCCAGCCCCTTAATTCGCCCCTGCTGCCCCCCATCTTCCCAAACCTGTACCTGGGGCATGGGACAGCATCCCCAGGAGCCGTCAGGCATAGCGCAGCACGTGGAGGAGTTGGGGCACTCGAAACGGCTGTCGGGGCACCGGACGGCACCCACAGGGTTGGCATCTGTGGATGGGGTGACCCGGGTTTCCATCAGCCCAGGTGGCGAAGGTCACTGCTCCCGTCACTCAAGGAGCTGCCGGCACCAGGGCCTGCAGACCCAGCTCCAGGGGACGGGGGGCTGCCACTAGGTTCAGTGCCCTCCCAGGCTCCGTGCTCTCCCGTCTCCCACAAGCCCCGCCTCCCCTCAGCAGTCTGGCACAGGGCGGGGCATCCACTGCCTGGGCTGGCCCAAAACCAGCTCGGCTAGGCCTCTCCTCGCTCCCACCAATGCCTGGCCCAAGCCTGGGGTCTTGCATTCTCTCCTGCCCCTCCCAGCCGCAGTGCTGGCCCTCTGTCCACTTGCCCAGTACAGCTGCCCCCAGGAATGAGGGCACAAGAGCAGGGATCAGGGTCACCCAGCCAGCTGGGACCCTGCGTGCTGCGGCTCTACATGCCGCCCGTCTGCTACCACCCACCCCCACCCCACTACACCTGATCTTTGGAAGCAGGACTGCCCATCGGCGCTGCAATGGAAGCCCCGCGGGCAGCAGTGGCGGCCATCCCCGCAGGACACGGCCTGTGGGACACAGAGACACCCGTGTTGACCAGGCCCTTTGACCCGGGGATAGAAGAGTGCGGGAAACGCGCAAACACAGACCTGAGCCCCTCCATGGAGCTACTGTTAGCCTCACCTCTGGGAACGGGCAGCAGCTGGAGGTCCCCGAGACAGTGAGGAGGCAGGAGTAGCCAGGAGAGCAGTGGGCATCGATCTGGCAGGGTCCGCCCAGAGGTCTGCTGCGCGCTGGCGGCCACGTGTCCTGGGAAGGGAGGGGAGGATAAACCAAAGGACCAGAGTCTGGCCCCTCCTTCCATCCCACCCAAATGACCTTTCGGGAAACCCCAGCCGCCAGCTCTCGCCCGGGCTGAGGGCACTCACTGGCACGGGACTGCAGCAGCTGTAGCTGGCTCCTCCTGGGTCCAAGCAGCAGGCCACAGGGCAGAGCTGACCATCTGGGCACTGCGTTCCAGCCACCAGCCCTGTCACTGCGGCCGCCAAGCTCACTAGGGCCCACATGGTCCACCTGCAAAATACCAAGAGGCATTTGGCAACTGGTGTTAAGTCCGTGCCGGTCTCCCTCCAGCCTACCTGGGCCTCCCCCACAACCCTTGTCCAGGGAGGGAGCAAGACACGCAGCCTGTGACTCAGCTTCCTACGTGTCCTGTGTCTATCACACAGGCACTGGCATGTGTGCACCCATGAGCGTGAACGCTGACATGGGTATGTGTGAATCTGTGTCCCCAGCACATGGCCTAGCACCTGAGTCTCTGTGGGTGAGCGTGGAGAGATGTGATCATGCAAGAGGCAGGGAGATTTGTGGGTTTTGTGGGTCTGATCTGTGGGAGCAGGGGCCCCCCTGTGTTCTAGGGGGTAGGGGGAGGCATCAGCAGCCGTGAGAGGAGACGGCTGGGGGGTGAGGATGGAGTCGCTTCTGAGCAAGAGCCAGGGTTTCGCTTCCCCAGCTAGCCCCTCCGCATGCCTCCTCGCCCAGTACCGTGCTCACACCTGCACCCTGCTAAGGCCTGTCGGGGGAACAGGGGCCGTCACATGACAGCATGGGAAACCGCGAGGTTGAGAAAGTTGAGAAAAGGGAAGCAGAGCGGTCAGCGGAGTCTGGGCGTCCCTCCCCAGAGGTCTGCCACCATCTGCTCGCTGACCGTCCCCTCCCCACCAAGGGGGATGGACACACAGGCAGGGTCAGCCTTTGAGACACCGTGTTCTAAGGGCCCCCGACACCACCAGGGCCCTTCAGACTCCCCAAACACACGCCCCTCCTCCCCTGCCCCCCCCACCCCCCACCGTCCGGGAGCCGAAACTCGGGGCACATGAAGAGAAACTACAAGAGCGTGCTCAGCGGTCGCTCTGGCGTCAGCAGAAGGAACCCGCCTCGGTCTGGGGCGGGGTGAGGGTGCAGTTTCACACCCCAGACAACTTTCCTCCGAGCTCGGCCAGCCCCACTAGTTCCACAGGGCCGGCCCGGGAGACGCGACCCCGCCTGGGGGCACAGAAACAGTAACGTTCGCTGAGCCTACTGACAGCCACTTTAAACACTCTAATTCATTCTCCTTCTTTGCACCCGCCATCCAAAGTAGTAATTATTACCTTTACTTTCAAAGGAGCACACTGAGGCTCAGAGAGGTTCAGTAACACACTCATATGTTACGTCACGAGGATGACAGGCTTTGATGGCTCCAGAGCACAGTACACTGGGTTCATTTGGCATGGGGCGAAATGGACAGTACTGGGAATGGACCACACCCCCAAGCGCCTAGAGGCCTAGGGTCCCAGCCGAGGAGGGGGACAGAAGCGTTTCCTGGGCAGGAGGACCAGGCAGGGCAGACACATGGGCAGCAGAACTGCACTTGGGTACTGCACTTGGCTCCTAGTCCTAGAACTGCCAGCACTGATTGTGGGAGCCTGAGAAGCCGCCCCCTGTCTCGGTGCTCCCTCCACGGCCCAAAGACCATTGCCAGGAGGCCAAGTAAGGGTGAAGAAGGCTGGTCCTGGGCCTCCGCCGCTCTCATTTCTCCACACTCATGGCTCCCAGGCAAGGCGTGTACAGCCGGCCCCACCCACTTGTTGGCTTAGGCCAGAAGGGGTGCCTGACCGTATGTAGCTCGGACTGTTCAGCGCCCTAGTGATGTATTTGTTTATTTTCCTTCCTGGGTATCCTGAGGTTAGGAAGTCTAGTGTATGCGTGTAACTGAATATACATGCGAGCACACACAAAGTCAGGGCCAGGGATGGAAGAGGTGGGGACCCAGTTTCTCTTAGGAGGGTTTTGAGTGGCGGCCTCTCTCCCTCTACCCCACCCCATTCACACTGCCGTGACAGAGACGGAAAGACGGGAGCCTCTTCGAGCCCCCCAGCTCTGTCATCTGCCACTAGGTGGCACCTTCAAACTCTGAGTGTCAGAAGCAAGAGATTCCCAAAAGGTGAACCAACCCAGCAGCTAGGCGAGTGAGCAGGAAAAAAGTGGCTGGGAGAGGCGGAAGTTGGCTTGTCCCACCCCGCAGGAGAGGAAGTAAGGAAAAAGCCAGGCGCAACCACTTCCAAGTCCTCTGAGGAGGCCAGGGTCTCAAGTCCCACTTGCCGCCCTCCGAGCTCCGGGATCAGGGGGGCGCCTCTCCCTCTCCCAGCCGCCGCGGGCACTACCTACCTACCTACCCTACTACAACCACCACCACCACCACCACCACCAGAAGGAGGTGCGGAGCCGGCTCAAAAACAGATGGTCCCTGCTTAGGGGGAAGGGGCTGCAGCTTCCGGGGACTACTAGAGGGTAAAGGGAGAGGGGGTCGCTGCCATTCAGTTTATTCCCACCCTCCATAAAACTCCCTCCAGTGCGTCGCAAACGCCCAAGAAGGTTCTCTAAGCGAGTCTTCCCTAGCCTTCCGAATGCAACTCCTTGGGAACCTCAAGCTCCCACACGCCCGCGGCCGGAGCCTTGGGAAGGAGCAAGCGAGAGATCGGTGCGACCTACCCCCTTACGTGCGTCCTGCTCCGCGATCCCCGGGTGGCCGCCGCTCCGCCGCTCACCGACCTGGGGCCTCGCAGCGCAATGGCCCACCCACCTCGGCTTCCATTGGCCAGGCGTTCGGGCTGTCGCGCTCCCGTTGGCTACTCGTCGGCGTAGAGGCGGGGCCATCCTGGAATAATGTGAGGCTTTTCTACTCAATTCACTTTCCTCCCTCCCAGCCTCGCTCTCCCCCCCCACCCCCATTTCTAGGGATCATGTGATTGGAGAATCATGTGATGGATGCCCCGGCTTGCTCCCTGCCGTGTGAGGGCGCCTGATAGTTTGCTGGAGGTGGGGCCGCGCCTGCCCGGAGCGGAGCGGCCCCTCGGAGGGTGCGTTCGAGAGCGTTTGCAGGATGTCCGCTTTGGGATCTGAGACACTTGCGCATCCTGTTTCTGTTCTATTCAACAAACTCACATTAAACTCTGGCTGGAAGGAGAGTTGTGAGGCCAAGGATAAATAGCCCTCAGAGATCCTTCTGTAAGGTACATGGTCGTGCGCCAAGTGCGTGGATGCGTGCAGGAAAAAGATAGTAGCTTAGCTCTAGGCTGGAAGAAGAGATTTAATTCCAGCTTGGGGGCACCTTTTGAGTTGAGTCTGGGAGGATTCTAACGCCGGTGGGAGAGGGTGGAGAAGCGGCGGGACTGGTGGTGTTGGAAAGAGCATAAGGGAACCAGATGGAAAGGGTAGCCTCGGGCAAGGATTGGATGCCAAGTTCAGTGTAGCGGGGTTTGAGGAGCTGCTGGGTGCCTGGTACAAGGCCGGGCAGGGGATGGGTGCAAAGTGGAAGTGACTTTGTAGTTTCCGACGGCGCTGCCTTCCAGGAATTCACATGGCTGGTGAGGAGAGAAAAATGTACTACACAGATCAGCCAACAATAGGAGCCACACTGCCCAGCGCCAGAGGGCCTGGCCCAGGCAGAGAGGGTGATGGGAGGCGCCCCGGGAGAGAAGGGAGGCCCGGAGAAAGCCTGGTGCTGGGCCTCGGAGGAAGGGATGGACAGCTAAGCAAAGAGCTTGAGCTGAGGGTGAGGCTAGGGGTCGGGGAAATCCAAGTCTGAGGAGGGCAGGAGTGGAGGAATTAATTGTGGGGCAGTGATGCGCAGCCTGGGGCTAGTGAGGGTGCGGGCAGTGGATTCGGCTCCTGCTGAGAATCGGGACCTTTACGAACGCCGGCGATATTCGTGCATTAAATTTACCTTCCTGTGTATCCTGAAGCAAGGGGGTATCAGTTAGGCTTCCACTGATCAACCACCAGTGTGTATGCACATGCACAGCTTTTAATAGAGTGTCAGGAGGCCCTGGCTGGCGTAGCTCAGTGGATTGAGCAGGGGGCTGCGAACTGAAGTGTCACAGGTTCGATTCTCAGTCAGGGCACATGCCTGGGTTACAGGCCACGGCCCCCAGCAACCGCACATTGATGTTTCTCTCGATCTCTCTTTCTCCCTCCCTTCCCTCTCTGAAAATAAATAAATAAAATCTTTTTAAAAAATAGAGTGTCAGGCAAATCAGTAAGAGAACCTGTTAGTCACAACTACACTGAGTCAGAAGAAATCAGCATCCTGGGGATATTGACCTCAGGGACAAGCAGTCCTGGAGGACTTGGTGGCCCATGTGGGCAGAACTCACAGGATAGTAATTAGTAGCCAAGGTATGAACCTGAGCATTCAGAAAAATTGCAATCATAGGTAACCACTCCGATTACTCTAGCAGAGAAATGTGAAATACATTTACTAAACAGCTTGTCAAAGCGCCTGCAGTGACCCTCCACTTCTGTGGAGAAGGTACAGCCCCCCCCCCCCCGCCCCGCCCCAAGGACTGCAGAAACTCTCCCTGTTCCTCAAGAAACCCCTCAGTGTCCTTACACCCTCCAGCTCAGGAATCTCTTTCCCTCTGCTTTTTGCTTCTAAGGAGGGAGAATCCTTCTGAGATCAGGGAGGCAAAAAAGAAGCAAATGTTCAGTCACAAAGAGATCTGACATCAAAAGGTCCATCCCCATTTGCTCTATTCTCCGCGCCCCAGCAGCTCCCTTTGGCCAGGCTTTGCGATGTTTAGTTTTGACAAAATCAGTTGACTGTAATTGTGAGGGTTTCTTTCGGGACTCTCAATTCTATCCCACTAATCTGTGTGCCTGTCCTGAAAGGCAGCACCACACTGTCTTGATTACCATACTTTGTAGCAAGTTTTGACGTTGGGAGACGTGGGAGCCCTCCAACTTCTTTTCCAAGATTTTTTTTGGTTATTCTGAATCCCTCAAATTTCCATGTGAACTTTAGGGTCAGTTTGTGCCAAGAAGACAGCTGAGATTTTGATAGGTGGTGCACTGAACCCGTAGGTCAGTCTGGGTGTGTGTTGCCGTCTTAACATGAACGTGGGATGTTTTTCCAGTTACTTAGTAGTTTCTTTTGACAGTTGCCAAGCATTTCATGCTATAAACGTTACACAGTTTACTTAACCAGTCTCCTGTGATGAGCTTTTATGTGCTTCCAACTCTTTAAAGTTACAAATAAATGAGCCTTGGCTGGTGTGGCTCAGTGGGTTGAGCACAGGCCTGCACACCAAAGCATCACCGGTTTGATTCCCGGTGGGGATGTGGGGGAGGCAACCAATCCACGTTCCCCTTACACATCAATGGTTCTTCCCCTCTCTTTCTCTCTCACTTCCCCTCTTTCTAAAAATAAATAAATAAAGTTACAAATAAGTATGCAATGAATATTTGTGACTATGTGCCTGAATGCACTGCCTGGGGGTTGAATCCCTGAATGTAACATTGATGCTCATTTGAAATATCCATGCCAAAATACCTTAACATTTTTCTACTTTACACGCCCAGGCATGGTATTTGGAGGAACATATTTCCCGTATACTCACCGACATTAGATATGCCACTTTAATATTTGTTTTTTTGCCAGTCTTGTGACAGAAGACAGTCTATGGTTATTGTATTTGCATCTCCTTGATCTCTAGGGAAGCTGAGCATCCGTGCCCAGCTTACTCTGCTGGTATATTTCTCCTATGAACTTCCTGTTCGTGTCTGTATCAGGCAGGGTTCTCCAGGGAAACGAAACCAGTTGCTGTGCACATAGAAAGAGACTTACGAAAATGAACTGGCCCACGTGACACGGAGGCCAGCAAGTCCCGACTCTGCAGTGTGAGCCGGCAGGCTGGGGGGGCTCAGGAGAGCGGAGTGGATAGAGCCCAAAGGCCTGAGGGAGCGCCCGGGACTTGGAGGCGCCGGCCTGTTTCTGCCCTCCAGGCCTTCCGCTGGTTGGAAAGGGCCCACCCACATTATGGTGGGCAATATGCGGTAGCCAAAATTCATCCATTTAAATGTGAAATCTCATCCAAAAACACCCTCCACGTTGACAGATAAAACTCCCTTACTATTCTTTGTTCATTTTTCTACCGAGTTTGTCTTTTTCTTGTCGAAGGGTGGGAACTCTTTCTACGTTCCGCGTGTCACACTGTCGCAGGTGTCCTTTGCCTTTCCTCTTTGTGTATGGTCACTTTGTCGTCGGAAATTGTGTTGCTGTTGTGTCGTCTGAAATCTAGCAATCAATCCTCTTCCTTTTCTAGCAGTCTTTTCCTCTGTGACTTCTGCATTTCACATACCTGCCGCCCGGCCCCCCACCCCCCTTGCTTAAAAACTTGCATGTGTTCTTCTGGTCCATTTCAATTCCTGCTGCAACCCCGGCTGGCCCTCAGGACTGGGCTGTAGATGCCGGCCCTGAGCTGGATTGAGGCACCACAAGTGACAGGAGGTCCCACTCCGGAGCCTGTGGTGATGCCCCTAGAGGTGTCCCTCTGGCTACGAGGTTCTTCCCGGGCAGTCCCTGGGTTGCTTTCAGAGGTGATGGTCTCTCTTCTTCCTTCCGCTTCTCTCAGCCTCTCCCTGTTTCTTCCAATCGCCCCTTCAGGGTTTTCTTCGTTCAGAACTATTGTTCTGCCCCCATAGAAGAGTCGGCTGCCTGGGGGGGAGGGGAGGTGGGCCTTTCCCCCTGAGATCTTGAGTTGTCAGATAAAACATAAGATGCCCAGTTAAATTTGAATTTCAGATTAGAAACTATGTTCTTTAGTATAAGAGTATCTCATGTAATATGCGAGACATATTTGCACTTAAAAATTATGCATTATGCACACTGGCTGGTGTGGCTCAGTACATTGAGTGCTGGCCTGTGAACCAAAGGGTCGCTGGTTCAATTCCCAGTCACAGCACAGGTCTGGGTTTCGGGCCTGCTCCCCAGTTGGGGGCATGTGAGAGGGAACCACACATTGATGTTTCTCTCCCTTTTTCTCCCTCCCTTCCCCTCTCTCTAAAAATAAATAAATAAAATCTTTAAAAATATATTCATTGTGTATCTCAAATTCAAATTTAACTGGATGTCTTGTGTTTTTACTCGTTCAGTCTGGCGGCCCTGAAGACTAGGGCTGGAGCTGGGGCTTAGAAAACGGCCTCTCCCTCCCTTGTACTGACTTGTCCCCTTCCTGCCTGAGTCACCTCGCAGTGAGCAACTGTTGCCCCAGTTCCTCAGGCGGCTGATCGCTGCCTGCCGGCTCCGCCCGGCCCTCGGGGCTGTCTGCTGGGGGTGGGGGTGGGGGAGGGGAGTCAGAAACAGGCCAGTGCCCTGGCCAGAGGCTGTGGAGGGGTGTTTGGCAACAGAGGTGCTTGCTGGGTAAAGTCAAGTCCTGTCCCAGCATGGGCCTGAGCTTTTCCAGCCGCCATTGGGCAGGCCACTTTCCTTGTTGTTGCTTTGTAATTAGTTACAATTTTACCAGAGTGGAACATGCAAATTTCAGTCGAATTAGAACACAAAGTAGTACTCTGCCCTCTCTCACTTCCGACTCTAGGCAGCCGCTTTCCAGTCCTGTGACAGCTGCTTCTGCGAATTTCCCTTGCATCTGTAAACTGGCGTGCAGATGAGAATGCTTTTTAAAAAAAAATTGATTTTTTTTAATGCTTTTTAAAAAAAATTATTGATTTTAGAGGGGAAGAGAGAAACAGCGATTTGTTGTTCCACTTATGTATGCATTCACTGGTTGATTCTTACATGTGCCCTGACCGGAGATGGAACCCACAACCTTAGCATTTGGGGATGATGCTCTAACCAACTGAGCTACCTGGCCAGGGCCTGGACGAGAATTCTAGATTCGCCTTTGGCCTCAGTGTGTTCATCTGCACAATGGGTGAGCACTCGCTTGCTCCCTGCCAGCTGGGAGGCTCAGAGTCTACAGTGAGCAGCTGCCACTCCACTGGGCCCTGGGGGCAGGACCACGTCTCTCCGCAGGGAGAGTGATGCTGGGTGATATCTTTCAATGCAGCTGTGGGTTGTGGAATGAAGGGTGGGGGAGGGGTGAGTGGGGAAGGGTAAGGAGGTCAGAGGAACCCCGGGAGGGAACTGGTTTGCTTGGCTCTGCAGACGCCCTGGCTGGAGGGGCCTTAACGGATCCTCTGGCCCAGGGTCCTCAGCCCCAGGTCTCCCCCTGGGAAGAAGCATTGGTAGCCGCAGAGATCTGAGGTGCAGGTCTGAGGGCCTGTCATCTGGCTGAACCACCTCCTATGCAACCAGTAACCTGGTGCTAGTGAGAACACTCCTCTCGGCCCCCTCCTCTTACAAGCTGTGTGGTTTGACTTGTCCTGCCTGCCTCATTGTCCTGATTTGTACACTGAGGACATCGGCGGCGAGGCCTCCCGTCCACGGAATGAGCTCATGCCCGCAGAGCCGCTAGCACAGGACCCGGGACAAGCGCACACACAGGTGTAGTGAAGACACCACCCTTGTGGGGGCCCCTCCCCTGGGGGTCTTTCAGCAACCCACCGCACACACAGCCCTTAACCGGGGAGACTGCCCACCTGCCCCTCAGCCCACCTTGCCCTCTCCTCCCTACCCCTGGCCTCTATGTCCCCCCACCCCACCTGGATCCCCCGTGTGACTTCCCATTCTGCTGGCCTGGGGTCCAGAATTCTGTCCATCTTGGGGCGACTTGCACCTGGCCCATTGCAGACTCCCGTGCAGGGCACCCCTCACACCAGGACCACCAGGGCCCCTCAGCTGGACAAAGGCAAAGGTGGAAGAAGGGGAACCAGTCCCTCAGCGGTAGGGTCAGGGCGGTGGGGGATGGGTACCTGGAAGGATGTGTTGGGCTCACTTCTCCTACCCAGACGTGGGAGCATCTGCCCCCTACAGGAGAGAGACAGACAGCACATCACTGGGTTCAAGTTCTGGGGAGTTTCGTTTGTTTGTTTGTTATCTTCACCAGAGGACATTTTTTCACTGTTTGTTTTTTAGAGAGAGAGGAAGGAAGAGAGAGAAACTAATGTGAGAAAGCAGCATCAATGGGTCGCCTCCCGTACACGCCCCTGGGGAGCATACACACCTGGACGAGCCCAGGGAATGCAGGTGCCTGGGATCAAACCCACAGCCTAGGTATGCGCCCTGACCCAGAACCATACCCACGACCCTCTGGCCAGGGGACAGTACTCCAGCCAACCGAGCCACGCCGGCCAGGGCCTGGTTTTGGTTTCCTATATTCTGAGAGCAGTGGGTGATCTGAAGAACTTCCCAGTGGGAGCAAACACTGACCCCAGCGCGTCTCCCAGAAGCCAGAGTGGCCTCCAGGACAAGCAGGTGGCAGGTGGCAGAGAAGGGGAGTCAACTCTTCCCTGGAAACCTGGGCGGTGGGCTGGGGGGGGGCTGCATCATTGCCTGCTGACCTCAAATTCCAGCTCCGCCTCTTTCCTGCCGGGTGACTTTGGCTTACTGAAGTAATTGTTTTTGGTTTTGCTTTTGGTCCTCACTCGAGGATATTTTTTCATTGCTTTTGGGCGGGGGTGGGGGGTGGCGAGAGAGAGAAACACATGGACCGGTTGCCTTCTCCTAAGCCCCAACTAGCGATCAAACCCACAACCTTCCCGACAGTGGGAGGAGACTCCAACCTACTCAGACACACAGCCAGGACTGCGATGAAGTACTGTACCCCTTTCTGACCTTGAGAACCCCTGGAGGGCAGCTGTGACCCCGGGGGGGGGGGGAGGGAGACTGTGGCTGCCTTGCTGGTGGACTCCAGAAGTTGGAGCCAGCTTTTGTCAAGGGCAGCGGCAGACAGGTTGCGCAATGGACAGGACAGGAAGGGCAGCAGGCGGGGGCTGCGGGAACTACTAGTTAATCGCTTGAGCCAGGATGTCAGTGAGCTGAATCAGAACGTCGTGTCGCAAGCCCAGTCTGCACACGTCGCCGAGTCCTCCTAACCACACCGCAGGGCACTGTCCCCCTTTCCCAGATGCAGGAGACCCCAGGGCCTTGTCTCCCAGCTACTGAGCAGTAGTGTTGGCAGCAGAGCCCGAGCCCATCAGCCCCCGGACCTTTTGCTCACAACACGAGGCTCTACCGAATGCTGGCTCGGCCCCGTCCTCCACCCCAGCCCGCCCAGCCCACCTTGACCTCTCCTGGCCCTTCTCCATGCAGGCGCCCTAGGGCCCCAGAGATACCTGCCCCGCGTCACGTAGACAGGTCCGCTTCCCCGTCTGTGAGACGTGCGCAGCAAGTGACTCCCGCACCCCCTCCGGGCAGTGATGTGAGGCTCCTCCGACGGGTGACTTAGGACCTTGTAAACGGGCACGTGGGAAACGAGAGGAGTCCCGATGAGGACATGGAAGGGGTTCCTCTGGTTGATCGGACGGCCTGGCTCTGAAGCACTGGCCGGGGCCTAGGTGAGGAGACTGCCTTCCCCGCGCAGCAGCTCAGAGAGGTCAGGGCGCCATCCTCTCCAGGAGCCTGAGGGGCAGCCGAGGAGGCAGCTGCCAGGAGAGGGGGAGGAGAAGAAGAAACTGCCCTCCGGGCGCCCTTTCCCGGTTTTGGAACTTTCCATCTGTCTACACCTAGAGCTCTTGAGGGGGAAGTAGGACCAGAAATACTCGCATTTCCACTTTAAAGATGAAGAAACCAAGGCCCAGAAAGCTGACCGTTTCCCCCAACAAGTCAGCAAGGAAATCGGTGCTTAAATGCACTTCAGGAGGCTTTAATTCGCTCTGGTTTCTGTGTTTAAAAAAGGGGGTCCTGCTAAAGTCTAAGATTCACAGCGCGCCAGGGTCTGTGGCCAGGTAAGTACCGTGATTACACGTGTCTTACAATGAAAGGAGCGAGACCCGGAGAGGTTGAGCAACTTCGCTGAGGTCACGCAGTGAAAAAGGCGCGAAGCCAGCAGCTGAATCCAGGTCTGGCCGAGGGCCTGGGTTTGTAACCGGCACGATATTCTCTCCGTGTAAGTTACTGGGACCTCGCGCGCCGCGGCCAAGTACTTCCTTTCATCCCAGCCTGCTCCTCCCTGCCTCGGCCTTCACCTTGAGCTAATCTCCAGCGGTAATCCCTGCCCCACTCCTTCCTCCTTTCTCTAGGCGGTCCCAGGCCTTCTCTGTCACGTGACCTGTTCTGCTGTCCTCAGAGGTGTCGTGGCTGTGTGACAGTGTCTTATTTACTCATCCGTTGGTGTTTCTTGCACTACAGAGTGTGAGCGCGGACCTGGTGTGGCTTGTTCGCCGCTGCCTCCAAGTGTCGACAACAGTATTCGGCACACACAAAACACTCAAAAACGAAAAAGGAAAAAAAAAAGAGAGAGAGAGAGAGAGAGAAATGCGCAGTAAATCAAAAGAGAGAGAAAAGGGCAGAGACAGACAGAGACAGGCCAAGCCTTTGGTCTCGGCCCAGCTGGGAGGGCTGCTCCTCAGTGTGGGTCACCGTGACCAGGCCTCAGCCTTGACACGGCCACACTGGGCAGGTGGCTCACACTCTCTGGGCAGCCTCGGTCGAACTAAGAAGCAAACCCTGCACCCCTGAGGGGCAAGGACACTGCGTGGCACTAGCTGGTGCTCGCTGAGCTCACACGGCCCTTACCAAGGAACGCATATATTTTGTAACTTTCCTCTAAGAAATTTTCAGAAATGAGATTCATGCACAATATAATGTTCCTATGCATAATATTTTTAGAAATCTATATAAACTTCATATAGTAAGCATGTAATACCTGTACATATAATATATATATGAAGTATTTTACACGTAGTATATACTGTATAAGGTGATATAGAGGAAAATGAAAAGAAAGTACCGTAGAAAAACATAGTATGTATTTCTGTGTGTGAAAGTTCAGGCTGAACCCCACGTGGGAACAGCAGCTTGCGAATGCACATGAATCACTGGTGTGGAAACCAGAACCACACTCGGGGACGTGTGTTGGCGTGTCGTGTTAGCAGCTCAGTCGCATGAGCCAGGCGGTCATGGGGACACAATGTTTTCAAATTGAGAAGGAGCCTTGATAAAGTTTTTTTTAAACTTGTTATTCGTTTATACATTTTTAAAGATTTTATTCATTTATTTTTGGAGAGTGGGGAGGGAAGGAGAAAGAGAGGGAGAGAAACACTGACTGGTTGCCTACTGCATGCCCCCAACTGGGTACCCAGCCCGCAGCCCAGGCATGTGCCCCAACTGGGAATCGAACCTGCAACCCTTTAGTTCTCAGGCCGATGCTCAATCCACTGAGTCACACCAGCCAGGGCTCATTTATTTATTTTTTATTCCTGTTTATTCTATTACAGTTGTCGCAAATTTTCCCCCTTTGCCCTCCTCTGTCTAGCTCACTGCTGGACAATAAAGTTTTAATGGAGACAAAGAAAAATCTTCCCTAGGATTTCATGGCAGTTTTATTCCTGGAAAATTCAATGTATTTTAAAACCATTTAAAACAAAGGGATGTGGGTGGAATGGAGCTAGCTTCCAGGTCAGGTCGTGAACAGGCTTCTCACCTGTGTCATTGCCCAGAAATACAGGGGAAAGTTGAGCGGTGTACGGGACAATTCCTTGATGTGTCCAACCGTCCTACACGTTATAGAATGGATATTTAACATCGCTGTCCTGCCATGGGTCAGATGCCAGGGGTCCTGATCTTTCGACCGCTACAAACGACATCATTAATTTCCGAATTGTCCCCTAGGGGGCGCTGGCGCTCCAGTCGAGAACAGCTGCCTGGCGCCGTCTCCAGCGCTCTGCTTTTTGAATTAACTCTACCTTCGAGATTGTTGCACATCGCGCTGTGGAGATTTGCATCCCTCTCAAGGCTGCGTGGTATTCCGTCATACGAAGGGACTGTCATGCAGTCCCCCCTCCATAGCGTTCTGCTGTTACCAGCAAGGCTACAATAAAGGTCATTTCGCACGCGTGTAAGCCGACGGGTGGAGGAATTCTGAGAAAGGCCGGGCTGGGTCACAGCATTTGGGCAGTTGGAATTTTGGGAGTTACGGCCAAACACTGCCTTCCAGGCGGATGGACTAGTCTACTCTCCCCCAGCAGAGCAGGAGAGGGCTGTCCCCAGAGCTCTGGGAGTCAGCCTGCAGTGGGGTACAATGTCAGTTCTGAGAAATCTTAACGGGACCCTTCCCCTCTGAGAGCCACCTCCTCAGACCACACCCAGGGTGCCCCAGTAAAGCCTTGGGTCTCCAGAAACTCCCCACCCACCTTCTCAGGCCATGGACAAAGGAAAGGTAGGAAGGCCTTTTCCTAGATAGGTTGATCCTGGCTATTACATTTAGTAATTTTTTTTAACCTTCAAAAAAGACAGTTTTGTTGCTCTTCTGATTCTGTAAGTAATACAGCATGGGGCAAAAGTAGGTTTACAGTTGCAAGTACCTTAAACAGAGTTTATTCTTGTATTATCATTTCTTAGTTATTACGGTATTTGCCGTATGAACAACCGTCCATTCACTTTTGCCGCACCCTGTACACACGTATTTCAAAGGGGGAAATCCCTTTCCCCATCAACTTGTTGCTCTGAAAACTTTAAAGACTTCAGAAAAAGTGCAAGAATGGCGCCACGATCACCCATATACCCTTCACCTGGACTCACCAGTTCACACTTTGCTACATTGGCATTATTTTTTTTTTTTCTGAACCACTTGAGACGAAGTTGCAGACGTCCACCCCTAAACACTTCAGTGTGCATTTCCGAAGAACACGGACGTTTTCCTACAAAACCACAGTGTGGTGATAAGAAGTTTAACATCGGTAAATTAATGTCTACTGTACCAGCCTCATTCGGTTTTGTCCAGTTGTCCCAGTACGGTCTTCTACACCTCGCCCCGCTCCCTGCCTTCAGGGTCCAAACAAAGACCTGACTTGGCTTTTAACTATAAGCCTGGAGTCCCAATTTCTCCTCTTGGCCTTGGTGGTTCCCAAGCCCCTGGCCCTGCCCCCAGGAAGGCAGCCGTAGGTGGGGACAGTGCTGGCCATAAACTCAAAGGCATTGATGGGGTCCACAGGAGGGATCTGAACCTCACTTCAGCCCCCAAAATATCTTGTTAAGCCCTAGGTTGCAAGCTGGAGGGGACACTGGCCCTGCCCCAGGGCTGGCCCCGCAAGAATTCAGCTTCAATAAATCACCTTCTGTTTGTGTTGCTCTCCCAGTGCTGGGCAAGGACTGGTCCATCAGTTCGCACTACAACCCCTGGGGCTGGTGCCATTCCCTCCCCTTTTATAGTTGAAAGGAGTTTGTTTTCCCATCTAATGAGGAAGGCGGTGATGGCCACATGGGGTCGAGTGATGACACTGGAAGGACCCCTGGGTGTGCGGTCAGTGGGAACTGTGGCCAGGTCAGCCAGGACAGTGGCTGTCTCCTCCTCAGGGCTCCAGGCTTGCTCCTCTGGGAAGGCACGTCTAGCCAGGGCTCTAGAGCTTCGTGGGCACCTCAAGGCTGCTGCTGCACCCTGCAGCCACCACGACCATCCTTGGGAGATGCCTCCACTGGCTCGTGGTGTCTTGTTGCCCACAGATCACCTCTCCTGCCTGCCCAGACTGCCACCACCGCACTGGACTTTGGTCACACCGACGATGCCTCAAGGTTTCTCAGTCTCGAAGCATCTACCTGTCGGGGAAGGCAAGAACAGTGATCTGCTTAGCTGCAGGTCCCTGATAGGGGCCACGGAATTCTGTACTGACTCTTTTCCTAGTTTTTACAAACATGACCGTAGTCAAGAGTTTGTAAGTTATGCAGGACAGGTGACATCATCTTTACTTTCAGATGAGGAAACTGAGGTGTAGGGACAAATCTCAAAGGCATCCTATTGCAAGAAGAAAACCAGGACTGAAATCAAAATCCCACATTCTACTGTGGGGGGGGCTGAGGCTCAGAGGTCACCAGGTTTGATTCCTGGCTCTGCTACTTGGCAGCTGTGTGAACTTGGCTCTGGGAGGAAGGGCTGTAAGGAGTTATAACTACCCGTGCTTGCATTTGGAGGTACAGATAGGACCAGAAACAGAACCTGGTGGCTCTAAAGGCCCTTTCCAGAACTTCCTGTGCCACAGGTTCTGGACAGCAATCAATAATAGTAATAGTAGTAGTAGTCGTCGTCGTCGTCGTCATTGAGTGCTTGCCAATGGCCTAAGCACTTTACAGTTATTAATTCATTAAACCCTCACACAATTCCCGAGAGGTGGGTGCATTATTATCCTCATCAGCTCGTTTTATAAGTGGGGAAACCGAGGCTTATTAGGCGTTAAGAGACCTGCTAGAGGTGGCACAGCTGTGGCAGGAGGAACACAGAGAGAGGTCCCTGCCCCCCACTGCTCCTGTCTTGAGGCAGGTAAGCGGCGCTGCCCCGCACAGCCCTGTATTTCTTGGAGTTCTTGGGGCCCCAGGCCTGGCTGGATGGAACAGGTGAGCAGGTCGCTCTGCAGGGATGGGAGCCCTGGGTTGAGAATGGGGTGGGGTGGGAGCCCCTCCGGACTCAGGCAGGTGGGGTTTCAATTCTGGCTCTTTCTTTTGGGTGACTTCGGTGCTGTTTGATCTCTGGGGTCTCCGGTTTTTTCGTTTGTAACTGGGAAGTTGCATGGGAGAAACCTGGGTTCTGCTTTCCATTCGAACCATTGCAGGAAAGGACCTCAGCTGCCTCCTCTGTAACGTGGAGAGAGCAGTCTCTTGGCTGGTAGGCTGTGAAACCGTTCAGGTAAACCATAACTGAGTCGTAAAAGTCCTTAGTAGAAGCTGGGTTTTCGCCTGAACCAACAGTTTATAACATGATTTTGTATTATTTCAGACCTCAGCTTGGTTTGGGAAGGAAATGGAAAAGGCGCCTTCTTTCTGGCGCTGTAGACAGGCTGCCACTTCAACGGTCACAGATCGCACTCTCCACGCCCCCTGATACGGGCTTCCCGGCGGTAGGAAGTCGCAACGCCTTTTCTCAGGGAAAGCTCACGGTAGGCCCCATGGCGGCCACGTGCTAGAGGAGCATGCGCAGAAAGTCTGGGCTGCTCTAGTTCCGGAAGGGGTCGCATCTGAGCGTGAGGGGCGGGGAGGCGACTTACGTCAAAAATCGCTGCCTACCCTTCTTAAAGGCGCAGGCTCGCACCACGTTCCCCCCCCCCGCCCCGCTCGAACAAATATCAAGGCTGCACAAAAGTTTTAAAGTTAAGGCAGGTAGTGAGGACTCGGCGGCGGGGCTGCCCAGGAGAGAAATGTGAAATGAGGAGGCGGATCAGAGACGTCAGCGTAGGATTTAAGCCCAGCTGTCACCCGGGGAGGCAGGGGGAAGTACCTGGCCGGTTCCAATTCTGAGCTCTTAACTTCGAGCCTCAGTTTCCCTTCCATTGAGTGGGGTGAATAATAATCTACTTCTAAAAGTTTTGAGGCTTAGAAGAAAGAATGGTGTGAGACTAGCCAACACACAAATGTCAGTCCCCTTTTCCCCTACTGATCCTCTCTTGTGCCGAGGACTCCGAGGTCCAGAGCGGTGCGGAAATGCCCAAGGTCACGCGGAGGTGGGACCGAGCCCAGGTTAAGCCAGGTTGAACTCGGAGCTCCCGGTTTCCGGGCCAGCCTTTCCTCTCCGTCCAGCCTGCCTAGCTTCGGCTAAAACTCGTGTAACCTCGCTGCTTACCAGCGCGCGCGCGCGCGCACGCTACAATTTGTCAAGTGTTTTTGGAGCTGAGTCCCATCAGATTATCTGTAAAATGGGGATAATTCCTGGTTGATGCGGCCCCCGTGAAGTTGTAAAAACCCAGCCCGGCGGGTAAATGTTAGGCATCATTTTCTGACCTTCCGTGGCTTTGGAATTGATTCAACCCGCCGCCGCCACGCAGACTAGGCCACTGAGGAAGGGAGAAAGAGTGCATTTACACACGCTAGGCTGGCAAGTCAGTGGGAGCGCTGGGGTTCCCGGCGCAGCGCTGCGCCGCAGGAGGGACTAGTGGGAGTCCTGAAAATACGCTGTCAATGCAGTGCTGCCGACAAGTCACGCGCAACGTGGGGACCTGTGACCTTGGCGCGCGGGCCCGGCGGGATACCGGCTGCTTAGGGAAAAGGGACCGGCGGTTCCCAGGGGTGGCCTCGAGTGGGCGGGGCCGGCGTCACTCCGGGCGTGCGACCAGTCGGTCCTTGGGGGGCGGGGCCTCGTCGCGTTTTCCGGGGGCCGAACCTGCTCCGCGGCCTTTCTAGTCAGCCTTGCAGCTAAGCGAGCGAGCGCGCGCGGACCCCGCACCGGCTGCGGAGCCCTGATGGGCCCGCCCGGCCCCGGGCCCCGCGCCGCACGAGTACCGACCTAGAGCCAGGTGGGTAGGGCGGGACCGGGCTGAGGGGCGGGCTAGGGACTACAGCCGGAGTCGGGGGTCTGGGCGTCTCGGGGATCCCGAGCCAGGGCTGGGCTGGGGGCGCGGAGTTGCGGGCCGTTGAGTCGATCGAGGCGCCTCCACTCGGCGCTCCTTTCGCGCGCGGCAGAGGCAGGGAGTGTAGCCGAGCGACGAGAAGAGACCCTGCCTCCCTATCCCTACTTCTTGCTCTCTCGGTCGAGTCCCTCGGCGTGTAATTTTGGGGAGAGAGAGCAGAGCGATTGTTCCCTCTGCTAACCCCGGGCTGGGAGCCCGGTCTGCCGTCCGAAGAGGCGGGCGGACCCTTAGGCGCCGGCAGATCTGTTTACCCATACCCGCATTGCCCAATCCCACTTCTCTCCACGTTCGGTGACTCTGGGCTTGCTTGTGCCCGTCCCAGGGCGGGGTGTTGGAATGGGGAGCGGGGTGCAGAGGGGTGGCTGAAGCGTTTTTGATCTTTGGGCCCCTGGGGCCAAACTGGGCACCCTCGCTGAGGACTGAACAGTAAGCCTGTGTGGATCCGATGAGGAAATGGGAGCGAGCCATGATTGCCGGTTAACCAACCGACGACTGGCTCAGCTTCCTGCCTTACTACTCCCAAAGTGACCTTGGGAAGGTCGCCTCATCTCTCTGAGCCACAGAGAGACCTCCGTTGGCAAAGTGGAGATAACAGTACCTCCTGTAAAAGGTCATTGTGAGGGTCAGCTGAACTCATCATACTCAATGAACTCATCATACTCAATGAGTGGGGTGAGGGTTCAGAGTGGTCAGAAAGAGCCTTGCCTCAGTTTCCCCCAATCACTGGTTTTGGTTGGTGACTGAGCTTTGGGTTTTGGGTTTTTTTTTTGTTTGTTTGTTTGTTTTTTTCAGACTTGGAGCTACAAGATGGCTGATCAGGATCCTGGGGGCATTAGCCCCCTCCAGCAAATGGTGGCCTCGGGTGCTGGGGCTGTGGTCACCTCTCTCTTCAGTAAGACCCTGGGAGGTGGGGTGGGCAGCTGGGGACCGGGGCAGATCAGAGATTGGAGGGGTCAGGAGTGGAGTCTTAAAAGGAGTCTGCGGACCTGCCCTCTCCCGCAGTGACGCCACTGGACGTGGTGAAGGTTCGCCTGCAGTCTCAACGCCCCTCAGTGCCCAGCGGTGAGTGTACGACCCTGGAGCCCGTAGAGGGTGGTACCAGGCAAAACAGTCTCAGAGCGATGAGATTCCTGGGGCAGGTGCCAGGCTCTCCTGACTTGGGGGCCTGTCTTGTGTTTTAGAGCTGAAGCCCCCCACCAGATTCTGGAGCCTCTCTTACGCCAAATGTAAGTGCCCCGGGCCACGGGGAGCCTGTGAGGGTCTTGGGAGGGCATGTCCCAGTCCCCCTCCCTGGGCTCCTGGGAGTCCCACAGCCTTGGCTAGGACGGGCTGATGGATGGGCTTCCATGTGTCAATCAGCCAGCCCTCTGTCACGCATGAGAAGGTTCGCCTAGGGACCCTGGCCTCCGCGGGCCTTCCAGAGCCATGGCATGCTCATGCTTCCCCCCCTTCCGCAGTGCCCGCCTCTCTCCAACCCACAGGGAAGTGCCTCCTGTACTGCAATGGGGTGCTGGAGCCTCTGTATTTGTGCCCAAACGGTGCCCGCTGCGCCACCTGGTTTCAGGACCCCACCCGCTTCACCGGCACCATGGTGAGGAGTGGCTGTGGGTCTGGCAGCATCCCCGAGGGATCCAGATGGCTTGGGCAGCAGACCCGGGAAAGAATAGATACTGCAAAGCGTCCAGAGTCGGGGGGGGGGGGGGCAGCCAGTGTTATTTGGGAAAGGGTTCCCCGCAGAGGTCATGCCTCCATGGGGTTGTGGAGGTGAACAGGGGTCTCCCTGGAGGCAGATCGGGAGTCGCATGCGTGAAGGCCCACGGTGCCACCGCCTCCCTGCAGGCCCCAGGGCTGTGGGCAGAGGCGCGGGCATCAGGCCAGGTCCCAGCCTAGGCCAGCCCCTCATGGGCCTTTTTCGTGTCCATCCTTCCTGCCTGGGCCGATGTCCTCTTGGCCAGGATGCCTTTGTGAAGATCGTGAGACACGAGGGCACCAGGACCCTGTGGAGCGGCCTCCCCGCCACCCTGTGAGTGCCCTGGGCCTGCCTGTGGTCTTCCCGTGTGCCCTGCTGATGTCGTGCTCCCCTGCTGGCCGGCTGGGCGGGGCAGCGGGGGCCTGGGAGGTTTGGGAGTCCCAGCTGACATCTGTGTTCACCCCCCAGGGTGATGACTGTGCCAGCCACCGCCGTCTACTTCACCGCCTACGACCAGCTCAAGGCCTTCCTGTGCAGTCGAGCCCTGACCTCCGACTTCTACGCGCCCATGGTGGCTGGGGCTCTGGCCCGCTGTGAGCGCAGCCCTGGGCCCTTGGTCTCCCTTGGACTGCCCCTCCCCGCCCCACCTGAGCTCAGTCCTCGCTCCCAGCTTCACTCTTCACCTGCCAGGGGGTAGGGAGGTGTCTTGGGCTCCCAGACCCTGGGGCGGGACCTGCGAGCTGACCCCTTCCCCACTGTTCCCCGCAGTGGGCACCGTGACTGTGATCAGCCCCCTGGAGCTGGTGCGGACGAAGCTGCAGGCTCAGCACGTGTCATACCGGGAGCTGGGTGCCTGCGTCCGGGCCGCCATGGCTCAGGGCGGCTGGCGCTCTCTGTGGCTGGGCTGGGGCCCCACCGCTCTCCGGGATGTGCCCTTCTCAGGTGGGCACCAGGGGTGCTGGGGTGGTGGGTTCAGGCAGCCCTCGGAGGATGCACGAGAGGTCTACAGCCAGGTCCCAACTCTGGTATCACTGATCATGAAGCCACTTAACTTCTCTGAGCCCTGACTAGCTCACCTGTGAAATGGGCTCAGCAAACAGGGTACTTGCCCAGGTTTTCATGAGATAATTCCTTCAGAGAGCCCGTTAGAGAGACTGGTGTGTAGCAGGAAGGCCTCTTAATTGGGAGGGAGCGGTTGTCATGGTATCGTTCGGTGGAAGACGGATGGTGTGGACCCACCCCTCTGCCTTCCCCGCGTCTAATAAGTGTACTCTGCGCCCACAAGCCTTGTACTGGTTCAACTACGAGCTGATGAAGAGCTGGCTGAGTGGGCTCAGGCCGAAGGACCAGACGTCCGTGGGCATCAGCTTTGTGGCTGGCGGCATCTCAGGGACGGTGAGTTGCCGGGGCTGAGGGTGAGGCTTGCAGAGGTCTCCTTGCGTGGTGGTGCGTCAGCTGCCTGTCGGGAAGCAAGCTCGCGCTCCCCGGTGATAAGGCTGGCAGACCCTGGCTGGATGCGAGGGATGGGGGCCCGGGAATGGAGGTGAACCCTCTCCCCGCCCCACCAGGTGGCGGCCACCCTGACTCTGCCCTTCGATGTGGCGAAGACTCAACGCCAGGTCGCGCTGGGAGCCGTGGAGGCAGTGAAAGGTGAGGGGGTTGGCTGGTGCGCGGGCGCACGTGGGGGTCCAGGTGGGGTCTCACTGGGCCCGGCTTTCTGTCTGCAGTGTCGCCCCCGCGCGCTGATTCCACCTGGCTGCTGCTGCGGAGGATCCGGGCCGAGTCTGGCACCAGGGGGCTCTTCGCAGGTGAGTGTCCCTGTGTGTGCCCGGCCCTGGTGGAGGTAGGCTCCCTGGGACCCGCCCTCTGACCCCAGCCTTGCCCTCCCGCCGCAGGCTTCCTCCCAAGGATCATCAAGGCCGCCCCGTCCTGCGCCATCATGATCAGCACCTATGAGCTGGGCAAGAGCTTCTTTCAGAGGCTCAACCTGGAGCAGCCTCTGGGCCCGTGAGGGGAGCCAGGGGGTGGGGCCCGGCTCCTCCAGGGATGGGGGCGGGGCGGGCGGAGACTGAGCCAAGTGCCTTGTCCTCAGGGAAGGGGCCTCATTTCTTCCCTCTCTCGAACCTTGCCCCTTCGGGCACACCACGCCTGCCTCAGGCAGCCTTCCTGCCGGTCCCAGGCCCCAGGGATCATCACTCTTCCACCCTCCCCTTTCAAGTTCAAGACCAAATCTGTTACCTGCCCCCCTCGCCCATTTCCCTGTGTGTATTGTGGCCGGCCCGCCCTGTTCTGTGAGTGTAAAGATGATGAACTCCTCTCCAGTGCCTGTGACTGCGGGGCGGTGGCGTTGGGGGGAGGGGGCTTGTGGGTGCTCTGCCCACAGGAGGCCTGGGAGGGGCCTTGGTGTCGGCCCTGGCTGCCCAGGTGATGCCCATGTAGAGGACCCTGCCGCCACCACTTTAGTGAGGACCCAGAGTTGGGGGGTGGCGGGGGGCGATGCTCAGCAGGCAGTATCCCTGCAGTGTTAGGACCGGGGTGAGAGATGGTGAGACCTCTGTCCCCGAGGGCGCTCGGAGTGATGACGGAGGAGGGAGGGTTGTTCACTGCCAGGCTTTGGCCTTGTGGAAGTGTCGGCAACTTTGGGCCAAAGCAGGATCGCTCAGGATGATGGGGTGGGAGGGAGAGGGTCCTAGCAGGGTCCGCCTCCTCCATCCTATACCCCCCGCCCTGCATCCCAGGATGTTCAGTTTTTTCGCTACCTGGAATCGAGCAAGTTCGGGGTGAAGGGGTGCTCACGCGTCTTGGTCCTGTTCTGGGTGTACCTAACGCTCAGCACAGTTCGTACAGAAGTCACTCACCCCTGATCGGTTCTGTCACACGACACAACACCCAACGTCAGGTCGGTTATGGGTGCCAGCACGGGCTGGGCCGTGGTCTGCTAACCTCCGGACAGGGCCCTGTCCCCGCCCCCACAGACAGGCTTCCCGCAGTCCTCTGGCTTTTATTTGCCCGATCCCCTCGGAGCCCCTGCCCTGGGGGCCGAGGGAGAAGTGACTCCAGGGGGTGAGTACAGGGACAGACGGACAGGTGGGGGAGATGGAGGTGCTGAGGCTGGGCCACGAGTTCCCGAGGCGGGTGAGGGGGGTGGAAAAGGGGAGTCCCAGGAGGGAGCCAGCCAGGCTCCGATCACCAGAAGAATGGAACAAGCTTCCCCAAGGGTTGGTTCCCTGTGGTTTGCACAGCCCCACCTAACTGCCAGACCCTTGTCCCTCGGCAGTCCTGGCTTCCCCAGGCAGGAAGCTAAAACCAGAAGAAAAGGACCCCCGGCTGGGCAGGCAGCGTTCTCCGGAAGGGAGGCCTGGACTGGGGCGCTCAGAAAAGATGGCAGGCATCGGCGCCCCCGGCAGGCGGGGCCGGCGTGGCCCGCACTTCAGCTGGGGCTCAGCGCGGGGCTGCCCTCGGGGCTGTCGCTCACCAGGCACTCGTTGGATTTGAAGCTCGCCAGGGACTTGCAGCTGGGGATGGAGGCCAGGGAGCCGCAGAGGCCCAGCATGGAGGGCGTGGGGTCCTTCCCTGGGGAGAGAGCGGGGGTGAGGCCAGACCAACCAGTCTGCGTGTGTGCATGTGTGTGGTGCGGGGTGGGCTCAGGCTGGGAAGGGATTGCCCCTCGGGTCTCCCCTCCCCCGCCGCCAGGAGACTTTCCTCATTCCCGCGGCATTTGCATTTTAATTAACCTCAACGAGCGCCTGCCCGAGCCATGCAGAGCTGGGGACACTATTGTAATCGTCAGTTTCTGTCTCTGTCTCCCCCTGAGGTTCATCCTCTCTCTTTGTCCGTTTATTAAACACGACAGTGAGCACTCGCTCTGTTCCAAGCACTGGGGGTACAGAGAGCGGACGAGACACAGTCCTTGCCCCCAAGGAGCTCACAGTCTGGTGAGGAGACAGACACACGGACAATCACAAACAGTGTGGCAGGGTCCCTTGTCCAAGGCCCGCCTTTGTCTTAGGATCTAGGGTCGTCCGGCACAGGAGGGTTTTTGGAAAGAAAAGACAGGAGGTCCGGGCACCAGGAAAACTAGGGTGGGGAACCCAGGTGCGGCCACGGGGCGGGCAACACAAAGTGCATGCGCTGGAGTCCGGGACACTCGCGTGAAGGGAGCCACTAATTTGGCTCTGAGCTTCCTGGCAGCCAAAGAAAAGGGGGAAACAAGGGTCAGGCAGGTGGTTCACAGAGCGCATGAGATACGAGCAAATGAGGCAGAGAACTCCCTGGGAATCTGAACCCCTCGGGGATGTCTTGTTACCAGAAAGCCATTAAGCCCTCGCTGCATGCCAACACCGGCGGACACTTGAATCAACACCCCCGTTCCACAGGTGAGGAGGGCCAGAGGAGGCCCAGCTGGGGTTTGCACCAGGGTCTGCCTGACACCCCAGCCACGCTCTTCACTGCTGCGCCGGCCTCTCTAGGAGGGCCGAGGGCAATGTCCAGGGCCTGGCCAGAGCCCTTCCTGCAGGGAGGCTGGGTGCTGGATTGGGGGCTCACCGATGGGGCCCCAGGGCTCCTCGTCCTGCTTGCCCTCTCCCAGGCGCTGGGAGTCGGAGCTCAGACTGGCTTCGGCTGACAGCGGCTCCGTGCTCATGAAACTGTGTCTGCGGCAGAGCGGAGAGCAGGGGTACAGGCAGAGGCTCACCGCCCCCCAGCCCCCCTCCCCTAGGAGGAGCCCTCGCTCAGGCCCAGACGGGCCTGGATGTGCTTACCTGCGGTAGCGCTTGGGGTCGCTGACACCCTCCGCCCTATGGAGCGTCCCCAGGGAGGGCCATTGGTTGACCAGGGGGGTGGTGATCTCCTTGGAACCCTGGGCCAGGGGAGCGTGGTCACCAGGGATCAGACCTGTCCTGGGATGGGGACGGTGGGGTCAGGCTGGCTAGAGGAGGGAGCGGAAGTAGGGAAGGGGATCTCAGCAAGGGGGGAGGGGAGGGGTTAGGATTGAAACCTGGGTAGCAGAAAGGGGGACAGTGTGGAGGATCAGTGGGGCAGATTCTGGGGGTCAGGGAGGTGACGGGGATTGGTGCGCTCACGTTGGGGCCAGAGGGAGTCAGAGGATGTGGGTGCCAGTAGAGAATAGTGTAGGACCCCAGAAATGTAATGGGGGGCAGTGCTTGGGGCATCATGCTGGGAGGTCATTGGCTGATGGAAAAATTGGTGGGGAAAGGTCAGGGGTCACCATGGGTGATGACAGTCAGTCGGCATAAGTAGCAGATCAGGGAAATAATTCAATCACGTTGATCATCTCCGAGTAACAGAGGTCCTTGTGAGAATGTTGGGGTCCCTGGAGTAATGCTGGATGGCTGTTCTAGCTGATGGTGGATAGTTGAGGAGGAAGTGGGGAGTGGGTTTGGGAGGGATCCCAGAATGTTAGTTGAGGATAATGTTACAGATTGAAGGTCACCGGTGGGATCTCAGGGTAGAGGTGATGGGGTCAGTGGTTTGGCACTGGCGGCCGGTTGAGTTGGGTGCGGGTATCAGGAAAGGCGAGGTTACAGTCAGCGGGGGCGAAGCCGTCGGGGGTGGCGGGGGTCAGGGCGCGCTCACAGCTGCTCCTGCAGCTCCAGAATCACGCCTTCCAGCTCCCGCTTCTCGCGCTGGTTCTGCGCGGCCGCCTCCTCCAGTTGCAGCTGCAGCCTCCGGTTCTCCGCCTCCAGGTCCTTCAGCTGCGACTCGCGCAGACGCACGAGCTCCTCCAGGTAGCCCTGCGGAGCGGGGGCTCAGCCCAGGCGGCGGGAGGAGGGTCCCGGCAGCCGGCCGGGCCGGCCCGCCCCGCCCCCCCGTTTGCCCTCCCGGCGGCCGGTCCCCCGCGCCGCGCGGCGCACACCTTCTGCGCGTAGACGATGCGGAACTTCTGTTCCATCTTGTGCCACTTGCTGTACCAACTGTCCTCGTCGGTGACGAGCGGCAAGTACGGGTGCTCCGGCGAGTTGTCCTCGCTCGTGCTGCTCTCCGCGCTGTGCCGCTCCTCCTCGTCGGTCAGGTAGTCGTAGCTGGCGGGAGGGAGCAGTGGGCACCGGCCGCCTCGCGCGGCGTCCCACGCGGCCCCCCCCCCCGGGCTGCCCCCGCCCCCCACCGCGCCTGCCCAGCCAGTTCCCTGCCGCCATCCACGCCCCTCCGAGCGGGAGCCTGCCCGCACCCGCCGCAAAAAAAATCGGGCTTCTTACCTCTGGGTGAACTTTAGGTAGGGCGTGTAATCGATGACCACGGGGGTCTTCCCGTCCAGCACCTCGCCCTTTAGGCAGAAGCTGGGGGCAGAGAGCCCACAGGGTTAGGGTGGGCATGAGGGGATGGGGGTGAGGACATTCGCGGGGGGACACCCAGACCCCACCTGAAGTCTATGGCGCTCAGTCCTATCAGCATCCCGGTGAGGACCGTGGCTTCCTCCCTCAGCATGATGGCGCCGGAGTCATAGAAGCGTCTGTAGGGGCCGGGGTGGGAGGGGGGTACTGATGGTGCAGCGTCCTCCCAGAGGCCCCCATCCCTCAGGGCCTGTCTTGTTGGCTTATGACACATGTTTCCCAGAGGGAAGAGGTATCTGCTTCTTGCTCGCCCCTCAGGTGTGGGTCCTGTGTCTCCCTTGGCCTGGGGCCCGCTGGGAACAGCACCTGTGTCTCCCACCTGCTAGAATGTTCCCCCGGAGACTAGACTCTCCTCAATCCTCTGAACCACCCCTTCCCCCCAGTACTGGGTCACCCGATCCTTGAAACCCAGAAACACACTGGTCCCCCCGCCCCGGGGCCCCTCCTGGCTGTGGCCCTGCCTGCGGACAGAGTGCGGGAATGAGGCTGCACGTGGGGGCTGTGCGGGTGGGCCGCAGGCGCGCACTCGCTGCTGCCGCTCTCTGGGGGCGGGCGGGGCTGCGTGCTGGAGTCCTGGAACAGGGCCAGCACGTCACGTAAAATGGTGCGTCGTCGTGTCCAGGTGTGTGTCTGAATGCAGAGCTGGGAGTGAGACTGGTACTGGGAAATGATGGCAGATAATGAGTTTGACCTGGAACAGGTGATGGTGGTGCCAAAGGTGTGCTTGAGGACCATGGTCTGGACTGGACTGTCTGGAGGAAAGGAAAGCTAGTGGTGCATGCTGGGAATTGTAGTCCAGCTAGGGGAGGTTGCTGCAGGAACTTAAGGGTGGAGTATGCTTAGGCAGTGAACAGGTACCCTGGCGCCTGGGGCCTGAGCCGACTGAGGGGGCCTGACCTGGTGGTCCGGGTGTCCCGCAGAGCCGTGGTGATGTACTCGGACATGCGCTTCTCCATCAGTGCCACCC